TGCAAGCATGGTAATGAGAGATAATGAATATAATGCATCTTTTATTAAAAGTACCAGATTTTAAGCCATTAGCATACAGGACATATTCTCTTCAGCTTGAGGACACCAGAGCTCATATGCATAACATCTGTCCTATTATTATCTCATGGTTAAAAATATGGTTTGCCACTTCATCAGAATGAGGTTTACTGGCACAGCAAAATAGGCACATATGCCGCACTGACTGCAACATTGTTGGAGATAAAGTTAAAGGGACCATAAAGGAACCATAAAGTGGCATTTTTAATGCAATTGTTGTAAATATGGAACATGTACCTTTGTATCAACCCCAGTTTTAACTTTCATTTAAAGAGCATTTTTGTGCCATTTTGATCTTTATATTAATGGTCAATTTTCCCATTTACATCATGTGACATCACAGAAACAGTGCCCTCATCCAAGTGTTTTATCAAAGTGCACTTTTCAGTAACATTAACCAAAAAGAGATGTTGTGTAGTGTTTTCTTGCACTTACTTTTTTTACCTTAGTTACAAACCTTCCTGTTACAGATGCTTTTTTATTTGTGTTTGATCGAATTCGTTCATTCATGATGCGCAGTATGTCAGCAGACCATTGTCAACAGGATCTTTCCTAGACATATCGCAGACATGTTTTGCATTTGTTGCTATTCTTCCTGCTCTTAACCTGTCCCTTTAGGTAGAGGATTAGTAGGGTTTTAGTTGATCTTTTAGCCCAGGGGTGGAACTGTATTTGTTGATAGTTTAAATGGATACAGGCTAAAGGTATTGGAGGTATTATAGTTTAGTTGGCTGTAGCTTGGAGAAATCTTATCATAGAAAGCCTGTAATACTTGCCTTTGGATTCTTGAGAATCTCACATCAAAATAACATTGAAAAGGGAACAAAAACTCAATGAACAGTAAGATATTTAAATTCCAAAATCAAGATTTTGATATTCTCTGAATGGTGGAAAATTTCTCCAGCATTGACTTTTTCAGCTTTTATGACTCGCAACATTTTTGTATCACAGCAGAACAAAGTTTGTACAAATGTAACTTCAATTTTAGTACACTTAAATACTTCAAAGCTCTTGCTTAATTTACTTTTTATTTTGTGATGGCCTCCATTTCTCTTATTCCCAGTGTTTTACGCAATAAACCCATCTTTGCTGGATTCTAAAATTTCAATATCCTGATAATTTTTGTTCCTTTGTCATTAATAGTTCCTCTCCTACACACATTACTCTCTGGTTCCCAGTTTGTCCATATATTTTATACAAGGAAATTGCCCTGCCTGTGATGGAGTGAGTCAATTGTCTGCTGTCCTAATTGGCCTGATTTTCCTGCTATCCTAATCAATTTCCCATTTCTCCCGTTTTTTCCCTCCTACCAGGAGAGGCTTCTTCTCTCAGTACTTCCTGCTCATCTTGCAGCTGAGATGAAAACAGAAATGATGGAACGGGTCCGTGACCCCACCCAAACACGAACACAGGGAACAGGCTTGCAGAAAAACAGCACAACACACTTCCATAATCTGTATGTCAAACGGCATAAAAATGTCAGGTGTGTACAGATAATCTAGGTATTTTTGGAGGCTGACTAAATTTGAAAATTGAGACATTGCTTTTATATTTTCCTTGTGCTGAAGCTTAGATACAAAATCAATGAAATGAGGTTGTCAGTCTTATGAAATGATGTTAACATTCAAAATCTTTGAATCCCTGAAGATATTGTGACTTTGATAAGTTCTTTGTTTTGCAAATCGTCTTATCTTTTTGCAAATTTGTTACCCCTTATACTGATTGGTCGATCAAATCATACTACTATTTGTATATGTATGTGTACCTACATGTTTTCAATTGCAAAAGCAATGTACATGTAATACATTGTTTTGTACAGTTCATATTGCCTAGACTACATGTATGTCTTTCTCTCTAACTACATTCACACAAATTTGATCAGATGGATTTCTTAACTTGTGTGCAGTTTCCATTTGCTGTACATTGTAATGCACCTTGAAGATTACCTGACCTTTAACCTCATGGCATATGTATAACAAATAAGATGCTTCATTTGTCCACATTCAAAAAGTTGCTCATTCAGGCAAAGCCTAAAGCTACCTTTCCATATGTGCATTTTTTGATTTCATGGCAAAAATAAGACCAACATGCACGGTGTACAGGTATATAACCTAAAGGTCTAATTACGAAAAGAATAGGAGATGAAAAGGTTGATAAGATTCTTTGGAAAGGTGCTTTAACTTGAACTGTATTGGAAGTCAATCCATGATTTTTAAGGATGGATTTGAGCCAGGGAGATGTTAATTTATTTTGAACAGGAAAACGAGAGGGTGTGCTTTGGTTGGACCATTGTAACCCACTATGTGCTGCATGGGTTCAGATGCAGCTTTAATTGGCAGGATTTGCTGAACATGTATGACCAATTTCTGTTTGAATACATATAGTCTTCATGTGTGCACCATGCTAGTGCATGTACCCAGTTGTAATATGTTGCTATTTCTCTTGAAGCTGTCTGATCTTTGCCAGTGAGGGTGCCTTTCAGCTATAGGTTGACCGCACACACTTGCCTTTACATGTCCTCTTGCACAGTAAGATTCATTGTATTTTTAGACTGTTCATAACAAGAGACCACCGTTATCTGATTAGACCATGGTAGTTCAGATGGTTAATGTCAAATTTGAGGCTGTCCACAATCAAGCCTTTGGACAAGGAAGCGTGATTCCTTCGGTCGTTGACTTTTTCTGTCTTTTGTATTTCGATTCAGCATTCTCTATGCAGATATTGTTGGCTTCACAGCTCTTGCGAGTGAATGTTCTCCAGCCGAACTAGTCAAGACACTTAATGAACTCTTTGGGAGATTTGACAGTTTAGCTGAGGTAAGTGGTCACCATAGCAACAGGCTGAAAGATCAGACAGGATTTCTGTAATCCTTGAACTGCTCTTAATATTCCTGACAGGCTTCTCAGGAAAGTTTTAAATGCCGTAATAGCCTTTTTAGATTTGTCTTTTTGTATCAAACTTGAATCCATGGCATAAACCCAAATATATTGATGCACAGCAAATGTAACAGCGTTGGCAGTATATTGTGCCTTGAAATAAATTACACTGTAACCACGCCCAGTGTAAGTCCCTAGAGTGTTTTGTCTGAAGGATTGTGATCATCATCAGTTACTCTCTTGTCCTGATTCTGTCAAAGAAATGAGTTATTTCAGGATCAGTCTTCAGGAAGTATTTCTTCATTTGTGCTTTTCAATCTATACTACATGTATGTAGTTGCCAAATGACCACAGCAATTCTGCTGATAATTGCAGTCATTATTCTGAAGTTATTTATGTTATGTACTGAGCACTGACAAAAGACTGGGACTAGATGCAGTGTAATCTGATAATTAAAGTGAAACAAAACCCGACCACACTTACAACAGATTTCAAAATCTGAAACAAGAGTTTTAGAGGTTTGTGATAGCACCATGCAAGGATATCTCTTTCTGAGTGTGTGTGGTTCGGAAAAGAACCGGAGGGTACTCAGAGCCACACATACTCAGAAAGAGATATCCTTGTTATGGTGCTACCGCATTCTTCTATAACTTACTTGCTACCCTTCACAGGCATGAAAAGCTTCAAAGCTCAAATGAGAGATTTATGGAACAGTGAATAGTTGCAAACAAAAGAGTAAATTAAAACATCAGAATGATTTGTAAGTAGTCAAGGTCCTTACACATTCTAATTGAATAATCTAAAGATTAAGACGTTGACTTTAATTGGGATACACCTGTTGCTAAATTATGAAGAAATCTCTCAAATCCTTAGCTACAACTTTCCAAACTTAGAACCAGTTTTGGAAATTTCTAGTTGATATTAAGTTCAAGCTTTGTCCCTCCCTATACATGTACATATACTATTGTAAAGGCATGGATGTACTCCTGAACGTTTCCCTCAGAATTTCTACAGAAAAACAATCAAAGCTTCAAGTAAATAGCTGGCCTGCAAAATATGCTAAAGGATTCTCTCCCCTAATCTCAATTTGGTCAAAAACATGCCAGTGGTGTCTGACACCTTGTGGTTTTTACATTTTAACATCGGTCTAATACATTTAAGGCTAGAGTGATGTATATGTGCCATTTTAGCCTTTAAAGCTAGCAGTGTGTGAATGGTGTGATTAGTGTCACTGATGTGCATTTCGAAACAGGAGGAAGGTTGGGGAATAAGAAGCAAGCAAGCAATAGGGCCATTAGGTACTTAAAAATAGATGAAGGCTGACAGGAGGTAAGAAAAGAAGAGGATGCATGGGTGGTTTGTGAGATGTGACATAGCAAGGACAAAGTGGTTGAGTGTAACTTGAATCTGAAGCTACAGAAGCTGTTAACAAGATAACAGAGACAATGGAGGCAGTGAATCTTGCTCTTTATCACAAATTAGGGCAATAAATGGATAAACATCACTGCCAATAGATTTTGTATGTGATCTCTACATAAATAAGGCAAAACAAAGGAGAGTTTCTTTGTTTCGTGAAGTCTGGATGGAAAAATATATAGGATCAAAAAATAAACAAATGTATAAATTCAAAAACCCAGATTCAGGTTAATAGCTTTGAGACTTGTGCTTCCCTTTCTCGTTTAATAGAGTACAAGTTTTGGAGCTAAAAAAGTAACTGATTCAATCCACATAAAGTTAAAATTTAGCTTATTTCATGGGAAATTATGCTGTTATGGCAAACATGGTTGTTCAGGTACGAGTAACTAGCTAATGTCACTTAGGCCTATTTCAACCAAGATGAATTAAGTTCACTGACACAAGTAATATTACTTTTTTGTTAGAACAAATCACCGTTGTGTAAGGACAAAGTGCTCCATGTACATCATAAAAGGGATCCTCTACTAGCAGTGGTAATTAACTGGCAGGTGATAATTAACTGGCAGGTGGCAATTAACTGGCAGGTGGTAATTAACTGGCAGGTGGCAATTACACCCAAACAGGCTTCACCTTAAAAAAAGCTCAGCAGACATGAAAACTTCAACATAAAGTATCTAACATAGAGCAAAGTGTTTTGACAAGGAAATGACAAGACCTTTACACAGAGTACAAGTCTGTAAGCTGTCCTAAATTAATGTTTTTGTGGAAATGTTATTCCCCCATAAAGAACATGTCAAGTGTGTTTGATTAGTTAAGGTATATCATGTCAATTTCTGACAAGCTTCTTGTTTGCCAATTTCTGGCAGGGAATAGAAAAATGAAATTACAGTCTTTGCATTATTCAAGGTTCACTTCACAACGTAAGGTTTTTGAAGGAGAAGATTATATTTTTCATTTAATTATTTATACGTAAACCTGCACAAAGGTAGCACAAAGGTAGCATTCTGAGGATATCTTTAGGCAAATTCAAACTTTCCGGCCAATTGTAAAAGTGAAATCAGTTGTATTTCAGAGCTGGGTCTGCCTTTTGCAGTTCAGATTGTTTCGTGATTAGTATATGAGTAGCAAGCTAATTGGTCCTTACAGCAGCAGAGACTTAATAGGTTGATTTTGTCTGATAAGATGTTGCTTTAAACTTTCGCACTTAACCAAAGATTTGTTAAACTGCAGACTGATATTTTATACATTTATGAACTGAATCTAGAGGAGATGTCCATGTAATCAATAGATCATGCCTCAGTGGAAGGCTGATAATTTCAGTTTATGTGTTTCTGTTGCTTCTAGAATTTCTTCACCATTCCTCTTTTGGTGAATTTATACAAACCAGAGCTCAACCGTTGAAAATTCCATACATCAACTTGATTTGAATTTCTCTCATTTTCTGTCATGGGCTAAATATAGGAATATCACTGCCATTCTTCAAAGGCATGGATACATTGTAAATAATTGGTGTGTATTTTTAGAAGTGTGTGTTGAAAAAGTGCGGGATATGAATCACTCCTTGCATGATTTAAGATTTGTTTCAACTGAAAAAGTGCAACGCTCAATTATGTAAATAGCAGTGGTGCCTTGTGGTGTGTTTTGTTGACTGAAATAAAATAAATATCAAATGGCAGTGAAGCGAAACAAAATATATCAGACATCCCTCTGATTATTGGATCTGGTCCTCTGCCGTCAGACTGAAATGCTGAAAAGGGTCTAGTCTTCTATAAGAGGCTCATACCGTAAGAAAAGTAAGGATTCAAAATGTTTTACAGCAGTTCTTTTTTCTCTTTTGCAAAGAACACTTTGGCTGAATGTATCATTTGTTTGGCATTTTTGCAGAGTCTGCAGAGGACTTATCTTTCATACATACATGACAATGCGAAGAAGTATTTGATAGAGATTTCCTTGGTTGATTGCTGTGGCTATGCTACACATGTACATGTACCTTGCCTTTCATACCTTGCCTTGGCCATCTAATGAAAAGTCCATTAGCCAATTGCTGGCTAAGCTTAATTTCTCAGTAGAATGGTTATTATGGTAACTGTTGTGAAGAAGAACAATTTTCTAGACTTGGAAATCCCAGTAGGTAACTAGTTTACATGCCTGGACATGCCATCCATGCATTAGACATGGCTTATTTGCTCAACTCTACCTGATGATGCTGCTCATCTTAGCCTTCTAAATTCCCTAAAGATGATCATCCATCCTTGTCCTGGCATCATCCAGCTTGGGATGTCTCTCCGTTGACTGAGAAATAACACACCTCGAGGGCGGTCACTGAGGTGGTATGCATAAGGAATAGGTTCATAAATGCCTAGCATGATTGCCAGTAACACTCCCACAAGTGACTTAATATATTGCCCTTTTGTAATTTATTGGGGCAAGGGGGGAAGAAAAGGGTAGATTGGATGCTTTGACTTAACACATTGATACCCTTTATGACATACATGCTGGCCCTTCGTTATAGCTCTTTTACATTAACACTGATGGAATGTCAGCCGGACTGGCTATCTGGCGGAATTTTCCGAGTTGTAGAGCAAGGTATTTCATTATTCATCTGACATGGGTAGAAGTTTGGGAGTGTGATACTGATCGGATTGAACAGATCTATGAAGCATTTCATTAAGAAATGACATGTTATATACACTCATCCCTGGTTCATATTGACATTTATATGGAAATGAATGCACTTGCTTCATGTATTTTACCATGAAAGCATTAAGGTATGAAATAGACATCTGCATCATTAATTTGTTACAAGTTATGAGAGCCAAGCATAGGTAGTCCACATGTGGCAGTGCTTATCCAAGTGAAAGAAAGGATCTAAATTGTATTTTGTTAAAACCCCCATGCCCTTTTTGCTAGGGACCCTCCTCAATCCTCCAGAATCCTCCAATTTGGGGGGTGAAAAAAATTGGATTCTCCTTCAATCCTTCCAAATCTGCTAAAATTTCTTGAAAATGTTACTTGGAGGTGTGCCTACTGCCTCAATCCTTCAAAATCCTCTGGCAATTCCTGTCATTATGTTGAGGCATTGCGAATGGCATTCTTGAGCAGTGCAGTTGATATCCAGCTGAATTCATGCATGACTGAGCAGGAACAACACAAGGTCTAACCCATGACCTTCACTCATGGCATCCTTCACAAACCGCCATGCACTTTTGACTTTCACCCTCAATCCTCCAAAACCTCCCAAAGGATTTTGGAGGATTGAGGAAGGTTAGGGTTAGCTGTTGACTGGGATACCTGGCTCACTGTCAACCACCGGCACATTCTGGGGAGAAGTCATGCACAGATGGACCCAGGATGAAGCAGTTGGAGCCACACCCAAGTCATTTCTGTTTGCTTTGTGTTTGAGGTTGGAAACACAATTTGTTCTTGGAAAGTGCCATCAAGCCCATGGACACCTATTTTGAATCTTTCAATAAGATATGTCTCTGTCTTGTACATGTACGATAGCATACATGTTGTGTTCCCTGTGCATATTCTTATTCTGAGTGATTTTCTTCTGCTTTTGAAAACGAAATTTCCTTCCCACCTTTGCTTCATTCATTAACCTATATTATTCCCAAAATATTTTGACCTTGCTTTAGTTGTTTCTGAAACATGGACGGTTGTTATCCACTGTGATGACACAATCTGACCTACATGTACAATATAGGTTTTCTGTCATGGCCAGCAGTGCTCTGGTAAACATCATATTTCAACTTTACCCTTCACGCATGAACTGTAGAGGTGTGATGATGACCTCAGAGTTTGACCTCACCATTTGAACAGGGCCATTCAATGCTTAGTCCTGATGGAGAAGTGTGCATAACATTGTCAAGGGTACAACTCATTATACCATAAACTAGGCATCTTGAACATCCCGTCCAACATCCAACTATGTTAGCAAGTTTACGAGTCACTTTTGTCCTTGCCTGACAAGCTGTGTGTGCAACAAATTGAAATGTGATGAAAACTTGATGCTGGCATTGAGTAAAACAAGTTTTGTCCAAGAGAGTTGTTGGAGTTGATGAAAGTCATGTTATACTGTACACATTCTGTAAAAGGTAAACTGAAAAATGCAGATACATGCATATGTAGCTTACTTTCATCCAAATTTGAAATACTGATTAATTCTCTATGGATTAATACCCTATGGAAAACGTGTATTCTACTTGTATGTACATGTACCAAACCATACATTTCTAAATCATTTCGTGTTGTCATTTCTTTGTTTTGTTTTGATTTGTTATTCACATACTATGAAGATGTTCAACTTTTATAGAGAGAGCTCTCCTGTAAATGAAACAAGTAAATCTTAAACGTCTTTGTGAAGACTAAGACATCTGAACTATTATAAAGGAGACAGCTTGTTTCCCATTTGAATCTTAGGTTATACCCTAGAAGAAAACACTGCTAGTTATGCACATATTTACCTTCTTTAGAAACAGGTCACTTCCTTCAAATTATTGGAATTGATGTATACGACTTGAGAATAGACCATAGGACAAGGGAAACTCTTGGTCTAGCTGAGTTAGGAAAAGACCATGAAACAAGGGAAGCTCCAGCCTTGTGTCTATTAAAACACCTGAATTGTTGAATTAAATTGACAAAAATCATCAACTGTCAGGGCAGTTGACAGCACTGGCAGTTATCAGCTGTGTAAATATTTGCTCAGCAGAAAATCAAGAAAGTTTCAGGGTCAGGGGACAACAATATCAAGCATGGATAATTTTTCTTCTTGTTTGTATCTTTGAGTTTATGTCATGTTTATCTACATTTCAAACAGAAATTTGCCAAACAACAAATTTTACATTTTTCAACATTTTATTTGGAACACTTTTTACATGTTTTTTTTAATTTAAATGTGTTAAAAATGATTTTTGTCTCTATAAGTAAACATGTTCATTATTTTTTGGCTCACAACCTCTACATCTGTTCAACCAAGTTCATTTTTTCCAGCTGTTTACACACTTACAATGTTTATATTTCATTTTTGTTAAATAAAAATCAATGACTGGGAAATACCATACCAGATGTTCCTGTTTGTTTTGTCAAGATCAGCCTGTTTTTCCATAACAACTGTAAGATACTATATGGCAAACTATTCTGATAGAAATGCTATAACCAGGGTTTAGGTGTGTGTAAATCTGTTTTCCTTCTCATTGTTTGTTATAACTAATAATTCAATGTTAATATAGGGCATATTACAGGCTCCCTTTGCCAATAAGGTAAACTGGGCCAGTTTAGGTGTCCTGGCATCCTTTTTCATCATTATGATATGCCACCTTTGAAGGGCTGAATCAGTGGAAACCAAGATGAAATGCACAGGGTTGCAATTACATCGGATAACAGAAAAAGGAATGGAAGTGTTCTCCAAGACAAGCCAACTTTATTAAAGCAAAAGAACATGTTTAAAAGCCCCACATGATTTCGTAATTAAGTATGGTGAGAGCAATTACACATGAACTGGCCAGTGATTGATAGTCAGCTAGTTGCATTTCTGTTAGTACTTTTTCTTTAGGTTAAGCCCCTAGCAGATTCATTCTGACCACAGTTGTCAATAAATTTGAAATGTTTTTTTAGCTGATGGCCTTTCTGAAAACCTGCTATTGCTTCAGTCATTCTAAATTCCTGTTTTATTCTGTCATTCTTATCCATTCTGGGTGGCTGAATGTGGGCATGTTTCTGGCACTGAAGAAAGAAATTGCCTGGGCAACACAGAATAATTTATGAAAGGCTTTGTATGAATCCCTCAGCTCACACCTCTCTTTACCAGAGGTGACATTTGTTTCCCTGGACTTGCAGTGGTTCAGTGCAACTAGCATGGATTGTCACTTTTAATAAATTTCTTGTTTAATACTAGATGAAGAAGTGGGCATTCTCTAGGCAAGAGTCATGTCCTTAAAGGAAAGCAGAAATATATAGATATCCGTATTAAAGGAAATACCAGTAAATCAAAGTTAATTGGTATTTTGAAATGTACATGTATGTACATGTAAGTGGTAATTTTTGCTCTTTTTACGCAAGTGATATGTTTTGAGAAAACATTTTGCAAAGTGAGTATGAGAATGGATGTTAATCTGTCTGATTTCCTTGTTTTTTTGTTACCTGTTTGTACAAGCTCATGATGTAATTATTCAAAGTGGTATGGGGAATGTAGTGATTGTAAGGTTTAAAGAAGATGTGTTTTGTGTATTTTTGTTACCAAATGAAAAATAAACAGGAATATCAGTAAAAGCCAAGTTTAAATTGTTTGGGACATACAATTTGTAACATCTAATTCAGAAATGGTTCAGTTGAACTTTTAGCCAGATGGGGGTGTCTTTTGAAGTTTTTCATGTATGGATGTATACAACTACATTTGTAGTTTTTCAGTTTACCAAATATTGGATACCACATTTATACTAAACCCTAGTGACAGCCATTCATATTTGACACTTAGGTAAATGTCTTTTCAATTGCCAAATGGAGTTTTTGTCTGCACAGTCATGTTGCATGCATGAGTTTAGTTTGTGAGATAGTTCTCCCAAGTGGGTATAATTGCAAATCATTGTAATGCAAAATGACTGTTACCATGGAAATGCATCCTTGGCGAGCACATTATTTTTTTCATGTATTCTGTCTGATATTTTCATGATATGCAGCTAGACTCCCTGCAACTTCCCTTTTTATGATTTTCTGATAATGGCACAGGCACTGCAGCCTCACCTGCACAGGTATGCAACACTACATGGTAATGTCCCTCCTCTTCTACCCCCCCGTATGGTTGTTAGATTGTTTCCTGCATCACAGCAGTCAGACCTGGATGGCTGAACAAATTTGGAAGTCCATGCATCAATAGGAAAGCAATCTTTTTGCAATTTAGACACCTAAGGGCCTTCACTTTCCAGCCATCGGGCAGCATTTATCAGGTGTCTCTCAGAATTTTGGCCAGTGTCCTATACCAATGGGATTATGACTACATGTATGTGAATGTTGATCAGCACCACCTTCCATTTGTCTAATATGTGAACAGGATATCCTCATGTATGAGTTATTTGAAACACCTGTCACAAATTAAATCTTATACTTGGACATGCAGCATCCTGTATTGTTAAACAGAGTTCTGAAAATGTTCCTCTTAATAAGAAAGTGAATGGTTTGGGGAATGAATTTGAGTCAATATTGCTGCTCTTGCTGGTAAATGTGCAACCTGTTCAGAAAATCAGAAATTTCTGTTGAGTGTTTGTGATCAAGTATGTGCTCTCAAGTATGTAAAGATACAGTTGAAAATCTTCCTTTATTTTTTCTAATTTCATGAGGTCTGCTTGCATCAGACATATGCTGATGAAGAATGTCAACAAGTATGTCTTAAAATAAGACACGTTTTGGGGTTGTTGGGAAAGATTTTAATCTTGAAACCTAAGTCGTGTTTTCCCAGAGGCTTTGACAAGTAATGAGAAATAGAATTCAATTAGATGAAGTCAGTGACAGGCTTGTTGCATGTTATGAGTTACGAGGATTCAAATGTCATCGTTCTGATGCAAAGGTAACAAAAAATTCTTCCAAGAACAGTTGGGAATAATGAAAATAATATGCACAAGGCAGGACGTGAAATGTAGACATGATTCTTTTTAAAAGCTGAAGAACCTCAAAACAATGACATGTGCCAAACAACAAATTAATATGTGAAGGGAGGGCTAAGTAAAGGGATGGGGCTTAGAAATCATTTTGTTGTTTCTTTTTCCATCTTAGAAAATGGATAGTTGTTGGATTGGTATACTACAATCCATTATCCTGGTTGGTTTTGAAATATAAAACTCGGTCAAAACACTTTACGTGGAAGGTCTCTTGTAAGAAAAAGATTACGTGCTTTGACCCCAACCCTCCTCAATCCTCCAAAATCCTTTGGGCAGTTTTGAAGGATTTTGGAAGATTGAGGGAGAATCCAATTTTTTTCACCCCCCAAATTGGAGGATTCTGGAGGATTGAGGAGGGTTCCTAGCAAAAAGGGCCTAGGGGGTTAGGGTTAAATGTCTTCACAAAACTTTATAGTTCTGATGCACGGGTCCTTCACAGCTATAACATATCTAATCCTTTTTGTTTTGCAGGTCCAAATGCAATAACATGTACCCCTGGTCAGTTATTATTGATTAGCATATGCTAAGTAGAAAACTTCGGTGAATTTGGCCTAGCTTTATAAGAAGGTTCTGAATACTTGACTATTTCAACCACTGTGTATTCTTGCTTGGACTCTTGTCAACCATACCTCTTGATTACTTTGCATCAGATTTCATTTACAAAACATTGCTCTCAATTATTAATGCTGCCGGTTTTTTTTTGTTTTTTTTTAAGGTTTTTCATCTTTTTGATTTCTGTGCAGCAATTTGATTGTATGCGGATCAAGATTCTTGGGGACTGTTACTACTGTGTGTCTGGCCTACCCATCTCTAGACCCACCCATGCTTGCAACTGTGTGGAGATGGGGCTGTGTATGTGCGAAGCTATCAAGTAAGTAATTAGCAGTATGGACAAGATACATGTTATGTGGTCAGATTTAGATGATGAATCTTCACCTACTTTGGACCTGAAAATCAACTTGAAAACCTCATAATTTATGGAAGTCAGAGCTTGAACGTGAACAGTCCCAGTTCCTCAAACTGTTGGAGGATTCAGGATTGTTGGGACTGACTGTTTTCTTGCTTTGGTATCTTTTTGAAGATACCAGGTTGAAGGAATCAATTGTAACATAAATGGTTATAACCCAACACATGTAATGCATGGCTTTGTGTTACATTCATGGATGTAACACATGTTGGAAATACATTACTGTTTTCTTTCTAATGTAATGCCAGAGTGAGCAATTTCCTGAAAAATACTGTCAGTTTTAATTATTCTCAAACCCTAAAGATGGACTAAAGAAGAGGAGACACGTACTGTAGCCATTATTCCATTCTCAGAATCCAATTTGTGGTTGCTAGATGTCTGGTAATGCTCTTAACAGGCATTTTCTCAGCTGTCACATCATGTGAAAATTGCTAGAATTGCAATTAGTGAACCGTGTGCTAGATCAAACTGACTGTAATAAACTACCCTCCGGATAATGATCGACCCTTCCACTCCACCTGATCAAATTACATCGTGGATTAAGCTTTGTAAGACATGCATAACATCCAGTACAGGACAAAAAAAGGTGTGTATAGTGGGGATTCGCCTTGTACCGTGACAGACTGTCACTTGGGGAGTGTTATACAAATGCGCCAGCTTTGTCAAATGGAATTTTGTTGACATGTTCTCAACATTTTTTGTGCCAAAATACCTGGAGGGCACACATGCCAATAGTAAAAGCAAACTTTTGAGTAATCAGATTATTTCAATTCATATGAAGGATCATGCAGAGGCATTTTTGTGAATGTGAGCTTTGAAAAATAGAGGCCAGAGTGTCCGAGCTGGAGGCCTAAAGTGTTGAAAGTGGAAGTGTAGTGTTGAAATTAAGGACCAAGGATAAAAAATGGAGGACCAGAGTGTGTGAAATGTGAAGGCGTAGACGGTGTTAAAATGAAGGACCGAGGATTTAAGTGGGGATTTAAGTGTCTAAAATGGAGAACTAAAGTATAGAAATAGAGATCCAAGGTATCTGAAATGGAGGTGTGAAGTGTTGAAATGGTGCAGCAACATACTAAAATGTAGGATCAGTTATTTCTGTGGAGGACGATGGATGACTGCCGTGTTAAAATGGAGAGCTGAAATGTCTAACATACAACACTCAATTGCCATTTTAAATAATTTTCCCTGAATGGTAAGCTTTAGTCATTGGTAGAGTCATCTCATTTCTCTAAAATGACAATGGTAATCAGCCTTTGCTCTGTAAGAATACCAAGAAAGGTTGGAATTTGTGCCTTTGTGGTCATACATGTACATCCTAAACACTTCATTAGTGTGCATCCTTGTATGTCATCTGTGCACTGTCATGCAGAAAATGTGATTTACATATTAAATCGCATGAGGTTTAGAACACAAGTCTTGGTCATTCTTCCAACTTCTTGTGCACATTTAGCGGAGCATATCTGTCCTTTAAGGATATAAGCAATCAAATAACATGGTTAAATGAATGAATATTTTGGCTTGAGGAAATTTGAGACTGAGTTACCACAGAGCTTATGCAGGACAAACAAATTGAACTTTTCATTTCATGCTCTTTCATTAAAATCCAGAGAAATAATATCAAGGAAAATATGAAAACAAATTCAGCTTGAATGGTTTTAAAAAAGCTGTTCAGGGTATAATTTTAAGGTTTCTCCCCATTTTCAAGTCTTTATAACAACTTCTTTTAATTTGTCAGTGGTTAATACGTTCCCCTCCTTTACCAATCTTCGAAGGTGTACATGTGAGAAATATTTGTCTTCCGATTTAAAGTCATTTGCTGTCTCTACACTCTAAAATGAAGAAGCAAATTAAGGTGAAATAATCAAATGGAGTGCTCTGTCAAAGAAGTAGTCAGCAACTTTAAAATTACCAAGTCTAAGACATTGCGTTTAATCCAAACTAAACAGCCTACAGTTATAACAGTCACTCTGTACTACCTCAGCATTGCTCCTCTTGCTACAACTGCCTCCAGCCCCATCTCTAGTTTCCATCTGCGTTATTTTTGGATGCCTTCCAAAATGATATTGTTTCATATCATACATCGAGGTAGGTATTAGTATTTTAATTGTCACTGTAACCTTACACTGCAGTTTTGATGTTATCTTTGGGCTTGAATGTGTCGGAGGGCATTAGCCTGGGGAATGTTAAATTACCACTTACATGTCAGCTTGTTATGTTGAGTGTGTTGGAAATGTACATGTACAGGTACATAGCAGCCAATGACATAGATGCCCTAATAGTTTGTGCTGAATCCATATGTTATCAAACATAGATAAATTGCAGATCAGATGGATGTATACAATATACAAAAATTGAATTTTATTGAAAATTAGCATTTTAAATCATTTACAATTCATTGGGGTGAAATGTTTATATTCTTTCCAGCTAATTGGCACTTCTTGCTAATGTTGCTGTTCCAGTTGCTGCTGATTGTGATACTACCAGCAGTGCTATTGGTTCCGTGCATGAATGCTAGAGGGCACTTTGAGTTTTGTACCCAACACACACTACATACATTCACTGGCTTGTACATGCACATGCATCCAAATGAAGACGTTCCGACGGGACCGTGTGTCGGACGGTTCTCACAAAGGAACATGGCGTCCCAACGGGAACATTTCAACCGTTCGAAATTATGAGACACTGTCTTATATAATTTTGTTTGAGATGTCCAAATATGCTGCAGATGTTGTTTCTTTATACTCATAGCTGCAAATTGATTGAGTGGTATAAATTTGTTCTATATATCTCAAATGACACAGCAAATTGCTTTTGACATTATGCAGTGTTTTAAAATTAGCCTGCATTCATAAACATCTCAGACAGTCTCCCAATTTGACAACATGCAACTTGACTGTGTACTAACATTTGATAATGCCTGCTAAGAAGTGATATGCCCACTGCGTAAATCACACGGTGGCACCTGGATACAAGACAGTTTTATCAATTCTGGTTGGTCAAGAGCCTCTGTGTGCAAGCAGCTTGCCAAGCACTCCCCAATTGCACAATTTGCACAGGAATATTCCATAAAATGGACTCGGTAAATGAAATGGACAGGAAAATGAAAGTGAAATTGTAGAACAAAATTGCTGGAAATCCATCACATAATGACTTCTTTTGACTCTCTGACTAAAAAGGCATTTGTGAATGAGAATAAATATGTGCTTGGCCAGTCTGAAACTAATATTTAAGACCAGCTTAAGAGACTGAAAACTGATAATGCCCTCACCTGCAGCTCAGGCATGAGTTGCATCCATTCTCCAGAGCCAGTCTTAAAAGTACATTTAAAAATATTTTAAAAATATTTTTGAAATATTTAAAATATATTTTTCAAACATATTTATTCCCTCATTAAAATTGTCTGTTATGCTCTTCAGTTTTGCTTCGTCCCAGTTCAGATGTTGAGAGCCATTTTTAGTTTAACTCTAGTTTCTAAGGAGCATGTGTGGACAAAAGACTTATAGAGGTTCATTAAGTCTGAAAGCTGGTTTTGAAAACTTGTGCCTTCAATAGAGATTTGTTTTATTATCATTGTTCATGTATACCAGTCACAATTGTCCTAATGACCAAAATAGTCAAATATATTTCTTCTTGTGCTACAACATCAGTAGCCGAGCAAAATTGGTACCAGTATGGCTGAATTGATGATTACGTATAATTATGAAATAGTGGCGACTGTTGGAGTCAAGCTTGGTTTAAAATGTACTTTTATTTATAATAATGCTGGTAGTATAAAGCTGCATATCCAAAAATAGCAATTCATGCATTGCACAATCATTGCTTTCCTTATGTACATGTATGTAATGCACACTTGTACATGTACTTTACTCCTGGGGTCAGCAATTTGTTTGAGTCATGTTTTCTTGGTGGATGAGTTCGCTGAGTATGTTTTTGAAGTGTCATGCTGCACACACCCCATGGTGAGATGCTTCAAGTCAATTACCTCTCTGCTTCTTCTGAGTGCTCTCTAGAAAGGTTCTACCGTGGTTTAGCCCTTAGGGATAAGAGTCCTAGGGAGGCAAATGTGTCCTCCTGGCAAAAGGAAATGAGTAGGATTATAGAAATGATGTATGAACCTGCTGTAGGCAAAACAAAATCTTTAAGTGCTTTAATTGTGTGTGTATGAGGACAGAACACAAAGGAAACAAAGGAAGTACATGTATCTGAGAACTCAGTGGCCAATCTTTTGTTCACTTCTGTCCTCTATGGTGTAAGTGCCTACGGATTTGTCTAGGATAGAGTGTTGCAACGTGTAGGAATGATGGGATGTATGATGCCTTATTCTCTGTCGCAGAGTACGTGATTGTTAATGTTGATTGATATATCTACACTGTTCATTATTTAATATTGAAGTATGAATAGTAAAAGAAGATGCTATATATAAAAACATGAGGATCACTACTGTCCTTTTCATCGAAGTATTCAGTGTGAGTGTGATTCAAGAATCAAGCTGATCCAGTGTATGCTTAAAAAGAATCTAATCTGATTCAAGTTAGTCTGTCACCACATCCTTTCAAATATTTCATCTGCAATGCTTAATGGAAAACTTTTGAGATGCTTCGTGGCGCCAAATGCATCAGTCCCATTATCAGTCTACTACTGTTTGCGTCATTCTGAGCATATACATACACATTAGCTTGCGCAATAGCGGGCTGGTTACATGGAACCAGTATATTTGCTGCGATCTAGCATCTCAAAGTCTCTCATTGGCCAACTTAACCTGTTATGACAAACGTATGAATGTTGTGCAATGATAGAAGGATGACATCATAAGAAAGTTTAGATTATTGACATGCATATGCAGGTGCACTTTACAACAGATGTCATCATTCTTAGTGTGAAGATAACAGGTATGCCACAAATCAGTGAAATCAACCTGTGTTTAACTTGATTCTCACATAATTCCAGACTTAAAATTTAACTACAAAAGGGTCATGTGCACTAATAAAATGAGACGATGGAAGAATCTCAGGAAGCAGGATGAAAGAATGACCAGATAAGCAAGTGCTCATGATTAATGGCCTGAAATTTGTTTTTAGTGCTCCATTTTCCATCCCAAATTGATGACACTGTTCCAATTTTACAGGGTGCACAAAGAAGTGCAGTATATGTAGATCATTAATTTCACATTTTCAGGTATGCGTAGGTGCCAACAATAAGTAAAGTAACTTCTGTTTAGTGTAGTTGAGTGAGAGACCTTTCAATTTATTAGAAGAGTCTCAATGCTCAAGGACTATTTGGACAGGTTATTCTGTTAAGATGCAACATTTATTACATGTATAATGTGCATGTATGCCCAGAAATTATTTCCTATCTAACTAATGAGGCAGTAAGTTGACTGATAGTAAAATCTTTAGCCTCACCCTACCTTTGGCCGAGATTGTTCCAGCTCTGATCATTTCGAGAGCAATTGATGTTCTGTTCTTATTTGTGCATTCATCAAACACACTTATTGTGTCACGATGAACACCCTTCTTTGATTGGTCACGCTGGTCATTGCCTTTTGACTCTTGCATTGACTAAATTATATTTTGTTTGCCATCACTGAGGACTTTGACCCATTCAAATGAGGCTTTGTGTATAGTTGCTGGTTAAAATGTCATGAAGATCAAACTTTGGGATTGAATTACCGGTATTAATGAAAAAAAAAACTGTTGTGGGTAGTACATTCAATAATGACATCAGTTTGCATAATAAATTTGTATAATATGTATACATGTGTAGAGTATTCTCATCACAAAATCAAAATTTTTGAATGAAATAGTTATTTAGCATCTTACGCATATTTCTGTGTGTTACCTGCATGCAGTACGACATAGGTTGATGGATGTTATTGTCCTCAGGCAAACTTGAATTCTCAGTTCTGATTGGTTGATCCATGGCAACAAACAGTGTGATATATAACCGTATTGTACAGTTCATATCAAACCCTGCGTATTTAAATGCGCTGTTTTAACACAATGTATTGCGCTATTTTTATGTGCAATCATAAGCATATGATAGTGATATGTGATCCAGTGGAATCATGAAGCTTCTCCTGCAGGTTAGCTACAGAATACTATTTAATTATATCTCACCCGCAAGTTAAAAAACTAAATTCGAACAGACCTTCATTTTTTGGCTATTCTTTGGTTAACCTTCTGTGTGTTGAAAACTCAATTTACAATTGTAAACCAAACAGACCTTCATTTTTTGGGTATTCTTTCTTTAAATTTCTGTGTTTAGAACAGTTAAGGAAGCCACTGGCGTCAATGTCAACATGAGAGTTGGAGTTCATACTGGAAATGTACTGTGTGGAGTCCTTGGACTCAAGAAATGGCAGTATGATGTATGGTCACATGATGTCAGTCTAGCCAATCACATGGAGAGTTGTGGAGAGCCTGGGTAAGACCTTAAATATGTAGCATTCTTCTTGTATGTGTACATGTAGCTGAAATACTGGACTCTGATGGTCATTTTTAGCAAAGCATTTAACAAGATTTTCTGTGCGGCATAAAACTTACATGTAAAACATATTCCTTCCCGCAATTCTAATTTTGTAGAAGAGTTCATATCACCCAGGCGACACTAGACAACCTGAATGGTAAATATGAAGTGGAACCAGCACATGGTCAGCAACGAAGCGATTATCTGAGTGAACAGAATATAGAAACATTCTTTATCATTGACCCAAAGGTAAGCTTGTTTCGATTGCTTGTTGTTAATGGTGTGTCAGTGGCATTTTGAAGTGTGTTCAGAGAGATAATGATTCACATTGCTCAGGAGAAAATAATATTGATGTAAATATGGGTGAATAGACAGCATAAATGTACATGATGATTACAGGTGAGCAGGACTATTGACATACAGGTACATTAGAAAGCCAGCCCATGAAATACATGTAGGAAGCGTCATGGATAATCCAGAGTATGATGTGGACAGCTTGAATAAGCAATAAGAATTCATAAGAATATGATATTAAAACAAAACCTACAAAGAGTGCATAGATTGGCCAAGTGTTCTGAATATTAAAGCATTCCTGTTTTAATAATTCAAAATGGAGAATGGAAGGAAGAGTTTGTATACAAAAATAGTTTTTACTGTTGGAAGTCACAAGAATTGTCTAAACCTATTCAGGGGTATAAAAGAGTGAAAGATACAAGAGTGTTGAAAGTATTCATTCTCCAAAAGAAGGCATGCGGGTAGTACTATACAGAGTGTAGAAATATGGTCGACTCTGGAGTAAAGTAATTTAGGTATTTTGGAAGAATAATGCAAGAACATTTATGCGTGACAGTTGTGAGTTATAGCTTTCTCTGTTGTTCTCTCTCTTGTCAGTCCAAGGAGGATATCCTTGACACTGAGAATAATGTCCAGGAAACCAGAGGGCGCCCTTCAAAGAAACTTGCACATTACTTGGAGAGTTGGGGTGCAGACAAGCCGTTTGCAAACAATGAGAGGGTTCAGTTACCCAAGACTGTCGGTGTGTCGGTAAGTTTGTATAGAACTAAGGAATAAAAATTACATCTCCTTTTCACTGTATTTTTAGTTCAGATTTGAATTAAGCAATTTTCGGCTTTTTGAAGTGCGATTTAATTTTAATGTTCTATCCCAATTTTGGTAGAGATGTATTTTGATGATTCTAGATTGTCTGATTCTTAGGGCCAGTTTGTTTAA